TCGTTATCTTTATTCTTCTATTTTAACTTCATGAATTGGCATAGAGTTATTGCTGTAAATTTTTGACCATGTGCCATGTTGTATTGCACAAATAGGTCATTTCTTTACTAATGGCCACAAGTGCACTACGACAGATGTGTTGCATGCTGTAACATGTGGCACAGAATCTCTCCTTTTAGATTTTCTTCTTCTTTAATGCCTAGGTGACCTGACTTCACTTCAAACACGAATCTAATACTGAAACCACAATCAAACATACTCATTAGACCTCTTTGACTACACACCATACTAATTCACAACTTAATCTCATTGAAATTAACTCAATCATGATTAATTTTTTTAGGATGTTTCATACTGGGTATCCCTACCTTTTAGTTGGAACAATATTATTTAGGCACTTTCAAAAAAAGGTACAATGTCATCCTATCGTTAAATTTACAAAACATTAATTGTGAAGTATGATATTTTGATCAACATATGACACATGTAATTCCTCCCTCCCCCCTCTCTACATCTGACTCTCTCTCTATCTGCTCCTTTATTGCAATTCATTCCCTCCTACTCTTTACCGTCCCACTCACTGTCTTTTGTTTTTGCTACCATTGATCTCCTTCCTTGGTTTATTTAAACTAAGTTATGTGATTTCAATGACTTCCATGGCAATAGTTAAAGGACCTAAAGTGTAACCTCCCTGAGGTAAAACCACAAATTAACTCCAATAACATAATTATTTGAGGTTTTAAAGAGAATTTCATAAAAATTATTTCATAGGAATCCCAATTTGCCATTTCAAATCTCAAACATAAATTTAAGGACTCTAAATCAGAGTTTTAAAAATAAAGCGAAAGCTTGAAAATCAATTGGGACCTAAATCATGAGTTTGAAAGCTCAAAAACCATTTTCGCACAGAAAAGGACACATGCGCCGCAGCTTACAACTCGTGTGCCGTGGCGTGTCTTTTCTATGCCATGCGTCGCGGCGCATTGCACGAAATTTGACAGATCAGTGCTTTCATTTGACAGCAAGAGGAGCGAACTTCCGACGCATCTCAAATCTTCGTCTGACGTCCGATTGAGGTGGTTTTGGTGTCTACAGGGAGCTTTCTTTTAGCTCTAGCTAATGGCATAGGTTTCACATTCAAATTTATTTTTTACAAAAAGTTGGACACCAAAAACCATTTTGACCACTTTTTCACAAAATCTCCTAAATGAGGTGGCTCAACTCAACCATACATGCCAATAGCCTACACCAACCCTCCAACCATACTCAATGGACTTTTACAGACTCGTGCAACATACCACACATAATCAAACACACTTATATCATAAAATCACCGCTCAACTCTAATTTTTCACAAACATAGAAAGGGAGGAAAAGTTGCACAAAATCAATCATTGCATTCGTATTTCTCAAAAATACATATGTTCCTACTTACACAAGTATTTTTGCCCTATCTACGGGTTTACAACAAAAACTCACTAACTCAAGACACAAAATACACTAGTTAAAATACAAAATCATGCAAGTAGTGCACCAATCAAAACAATTGCTCTTAGTTGGCAAATGCATTAACAAATACACATGAAAAACAACTAAAGAGAGACATAAAAAGGATTTACTCCATAAATTCTAAGTCTCTATATATTTTTCTCGACTTGGATCCAATAAGTTAGGTCCTGAAAATATTAAGAATTGAGGGGTGAGTACAACCACTTAGTAACCAAGTTTCACTTAACCCTTACAATTACATATTAATTGTAAATAGATGCAATTAGTCACATAAATAGATATTTCACATAGTATTAGGCCACGGTTCACAAAACTAACAATCATGTGACCGGGCTTGCCCCAAAACACCATATCATGTTATTTCACAAAAATATAACATAGAGTCACAAAAATTACAACCATGCGCCCTTAACATGTACCAGACTACAAAACTAACAACCATATAGCCGGTCATATATGCATGATCATATGCCACCCTTATATCCTCTTGTTACCTCTGACATAAAACCAGTGGCCATCACGAGGCTACATCCTTCACGATCTAACCTAACCTTTTACTTGTAAGGAGCTACCAGGTCAGGGTTAACTTACTTATTTATATAGTCTGATTTTCCCCAATACTAACAACCATGGGGTGTCGTATCCCTAATCTAGCCTCCTCATGAACTGGTGGAGATTAGTTAGGTTCGAGTCCCTCATAAAACAAGTGGGACAATTCCGAATCAACCATGGGACAAGGGTTACCTCTCAATTTCAATGGTCGGTGCTAAGGCTAGTTCCCAATTTCAACAGTCACTATTAATACCACGTGGATTTCAACTAATCTACTCCTCTCCCTAGGCGAACTCCCGCCAATGATCATGCTATACACATTTCACACATAATATGCTCCACATTTTAACACATAATTTATCATAATTCTACACCTATGGTAATAAATTATAATTAATTTCATAACACATCAAGGGTGATAAAAATAAGGTTTTCTTTCCCAAAACATTTCATAATCAAGTATTTGCCTATATGCATCATCAAATTAATTCACAAATCACCTTTTATAACACAATTAATATTTAACTATAAAAATTAAGTCTTCCCCAGTTACCTCAAATCTTTGAGAGATCAAAGGTTTACCCCTCACTATATCAACTTTCCAAAGCTTCAACGAACTCGAATGGTGCTAAAACGAACCTCTATTCATCCAAACCACAAGAACATCATCACCAACTAGCTCTTGAAACTTTATCAACATAAACTCTATATACACTACTATGTCATCACATAATTACTACCCACTCATATCCAAAGGGCTCATTAAGTTCCATTAATGCACATTATCATTAATCACACCTCAAACCTTCATTAATGCACACTAACCTCTTCCAACTACCACACAAATACCAATTTCAGATATTAAATGCTCTCATGGACCATCCACTTGTAAAATTATCAATGTGGTGTTTCAATACATTAAATCACTCTCATTAATCTCATTTAATCAATGAAATCAGACCCATACTTCCATGAGATTGAAAATCCATCTCTCAACTCAAACCCTACCATAAATAATCATAAATGAGGGAGGAAAGGGAAGAAGAAAGCACCATAAGCTTACCTTTAGTGTTTAGGAGCTTCAATCTATCAACGATGGAACCAAAAGTCGTGCCCTAACAGAGCCAAAACCAAGCTCTTTGTTTTCTTCCTCTTTCTCTCTTCTGTTTTCACGTAGAGACGAATTAGATATATTTAATTTTTAGCCGTACACCACGGCAAACCAACCACACGCCGTGGCATGTGGCACAAAACACAACTCTTCACTTTTTCATCCTCTTTCCTTGCCCGAGTGGCCCGCCATTAATTCAGACGCACTTGTAGGGCTGAAATCATAACAATTATGCCAAGTTAAGCCCCTCTGACCACATACCTCATCAACTTATTAACTACCCTAATTAAGTTAACAAATCAGGGTTAAATTTTTTCAAATGTTACATAAAGACCAAGACTTTATTTTAGAGAAAGAGAAGATGAGCTCTACATGCAGGAAACACAATTTCAAGAAGAGAAAATCCAATAAGGTTTGTAGCTCCCAAGCGTGCTTAAATTAAACTTAAAAAATGCTTTATGAGGTGAACAGGTGATGAAGAATAATGGGACTTTATTACCATTACCAAACAATCTCATAACTAAATACCATTAAGGCTAATACCCAAACAGAATAGAATTTCAAGCTGCTTGTTTGAACGAAACATAAGTAAATTTATTGTAGTATAGATTACCCTTCATAATTTTTTTTAAAAGACTAAAATACTGGATAAATTATTCATGCTTTTAGCTGCATATATGACAATATATGAGTATGATTTAGGAGTTTATATTTCTCACTCCCTTTCATTAAATTACAATGTAAATAGTGAGAAAGAATGATGGAGAGTGAAGACCAACAGGACAATGGTGAAAGGTTGATTATTGACTTACTGACTACTAATAGGGTTAAATGGAGAAGGAAAATGAAGTCAATAAACAAATCTTTAAGAATAGAGTTTCACGCTAGTGGCAAGATCGTTAGATCAAGAAGATAAAGAGCAAAGGTGAGACTAAGAGAGGAAGAAGCTGAGAAGGTGATGGGAGGGAAAAAAAGGTTCATGTCGACAAGATTGAGAAAATAGAGGTAGTCTGCATGACATGCATGGTTAAGGAGGAATGACTAAATAGGATTTACTATATGTTAAACTCACTATTTCACACTCTGAGTGCAGGGAGGAAGATGAACAGAGAGGGGCATAGGTTAACACGTGTAAAGAATATGGTTAAAAAAAATTAAATATAAAATGTTAGTCAATATAGGATGAAATTGTACTCTTTTTAAAAGTTTTGGGGTAACATTACTCCAAATACACAGTGTTCTTTACATAAAACTTTTGAGGTTTTTTACCCCTTAATCTTACATTTTATCCATGTTATTATAATGACGTACATTTCCCAAAGTTAAATAAATTTGATAAATATGAATCTTTTTGCATTTAATAATTTAGATTCACGAACCAAAAACTAAGACAAGATAAAATGATTCATAAAAATAATAATAATTAAATTCTTTAAATCTCAAGAGTCATGGATATCTGCAGAATGTGATAATATTTACAACAATATAAATTAAACCATTTATTTTATTGTAATTCCTAAATGCCATTTTATGCATTTTCTATGGTTAATGTGTACTATTTTTTTCATCTGCGATGGGATTTTTTTAAATAAAAATTTAAACTGTAATTTATTATATCATAAAGGATAGCTCTGGATCATTTTATAGATTTTGGGAAGTCATTGAAATCAAGCGCGCATCGCTTTCCATTTTCGGCCTGAGCACGCATTTCTTGTTGGGTTTAATGGGCCTTCTTCTGCGAGTCACAAGAGAAATGTGAGTTGAGCCCACAGGAACGAAAATTCGAGAAGCGAAACCGCCTTTTCTCGAGCCTCGTGCTTCCAACGGCAGTACCCGGTATAGATGCTCCCCTTTTGGGTTCATCGATGCTCTATTCATTATAACTGCCGATTCATCGCCCCCTCTACCACAGAAAAATCTTACTCTTCCAGATACATCCACAGTCCCGATCCTTCCGATCATGTCTCACTTCAAGTCCAAGTTCCATGGTAATTCTACTCTCTACTTTTGCTTGATGCGTTCAATCCGTCTTTTTTCGGCCGATTCAAGTTTTTGCCTTACTTCGTTGTGTTTCATCTTCACTTGTTTTTGCTGATCGTACTTGGATGGCTTCCTTTTTATTATAATCGGACTGAAGCAAGAATCGTACCAGCTTTCAATCTCATTTGTTTTGGTATTCATATCTCGCGATTTTGTGTTTTCTTCCGCATATGGTTTTTGAGTTTTCCCCCGTGTCCTGTTTCTTCTGCATGAATCTTCTGACCTTAAGTTCTAAGTCCTTCTCGTTTTATCTGTTATAATTATCTGACAGAAGCTTTTGATTCTTATGAGCGTCTATCTTACTTGGCATCAATCAATGTTTCTCCTTTCTTGCTCCTCAATTTTTTTACCTTTTTGAAGAATTACTCGTTGAATCGGGTCCTTCGATTTGTTGATATGACAAGCTAACGGTGATTCCTTCCTAGACTTTGCTGATTTATATGGCATCCCATTTTTAACCATGAATCGGGTCCTTGTGTATCTTGCCCATTTTGTCCACTTCTAAAGGATTAAATAACTCTTGTTTGTTAGCATTTCTTAATGGATTCAGCGGAACATTTAACACCATTTGTATTATATATCTGCAGTCGATCGTGCGTCTTAGCATGCCTTCATAGTTTATATTTGTCTAAATTTATGATACTGTGCTATCTTATCTTTGGTATATGACCTCCTTTTGAAAGTCAGTCGATTCAATCAAAGAGTTAGTATCATGGACATTTTATTTCTGGTAGATGTGAGTGTCGACATGCCATGCTTCATGTCATCTATGAAAAACTTCTTCTTTTTTTTTTTTCCTTCGCATTAGCCTGTTGCCATTTGTTAGCGTTAACAGAAGTTTTGGTTTTGGTTGTTACGTGACATCAAAGTTATTTTTGGTGTGTTTCTCAGCGAAAATTCAAGTCTTATACCAATCTGTGATTTGCAGATGAGCTTATTGCCAATGCTGCCTACATTGGCACACCTGGAAAGGGTATTCTTGCTGCTGACGAGTCAACTGGAACAATTGGCAAGCGTCTAGCCAGTATCAATGTGGAGAATGTTGAATCAAACAGGCGTGCTCTTCGCGAGCTCCTCTTCACCACTCCTGGAGCTCTCCAGTATCTGAGTGGAGTGATCCTCTTCGAGGAAACCCTATACCAGAAGACAGCTGCAGGTATCATCAACATTCTTGATAGCTTGTATCTTGCTTCGTTACATGATTAACATGTTTTATTGGCTGTGCATATTCGCTTCAGAGTATGGTTCTTTTTGGTGTGTAGTTTTCCTTTTGTTGACGTGGATGTAAATTGATGTCTATACTTGCACTGACATTATACATGGACTCTTAGGCAAGCCATTTGTGGAGGTGTTGAAGGAAGGTGGCGTGCTTCCTGGCATCAAGGTTGACAAAGGCACTGTCGAGCTTGCTGGCACTAATGGAGAAACCACCACTCAGGGTCTAGATGGCCTTGGTCAGCGTTGCCAGAAATATTATGAAGCTGGTGCGCGGTTTGCCAAGTGGCGGGCTGTGCTCAAAATTGGCCCTCATGAGCCATCTGAGCTAGCTATCCATGAAAATGCATATGGATTGGCAAGATATGCTGTCATATGCCAGGAAAATGGATTGGTTCCTATTGTTGAACCTGAGATCCTTGTTGATGGACCTCATGACATCAACAAGTGTGCTGCAGTGACTGAACGTGTGCTTGCTGCATGCTACAAGGCTTTAAATGATCACCATGTGCTGCTTGAAGGAACACTTTTGAAGCCAAACATGGTGACCCCTGGATCAGAATCGCCAAAAGTTGCCCCTGAGGTTATTGCTGAGCACACTGTTAGAGCTCTGCAGCGTACTGTACCTGCGGCTGTTCCTGCTGTGGTTTTCTTGTCTGGCGGGCAGAGTGAGGAGGAGGCAACTCTCAACCTCAATGCTATGAACAAATTAAAGGGGAAGAAGCCATGGTCTCTTTCCTTCTCTTTTGGAAGGGCTCTTCAGCAGAGCACACTCAAGGCATGGTCTGGAAAGGAGGAAAACGTAAAGAAAGCTCAAGAAGCCTTCCTGACGAGGTGCAAGGCGAATTCAGAGGCAACTCTGGGAACCTACAAGGGTGATGCAAAGCTTGGTGAAGGTGCGTCTGAGAGCCTCCATGTGAAGGACTACAAGTACTGATCAACGTTGGAGTCTGAGAGAAATCGTCCTTGAGGATCCAAGTTCGTTATGCTAGAGACATGAATCGATGGGTCCTTCTCGGTGAAGATCAGGGGTCGACTGCTGCGGATTGATTGATCGATTTTGTTCGTCTTTTTCCTTTTTTTCCAGTGTTTCTGTGCTGTTGTCAGTTCAGTGTGTTAGGTTTGTAATTATCGGTTTGTATCAAACCTTTGAAGGAAGACGTAGTTGCTTATCTGATATTTAGGTTTGGGGCATTAACTGAGAGTCTGATACGGAGTTCTTGTTTTGAATATCTTGCTTGCTTTCGGCTCTGCTGCTTAGAAAGGCTCTCCCCCCAATTTTCTGTTAATATTCATGGCTGTTTTTTAACTCAGTTGTTCTCATCCGTTGTAAATGCAATATTCAAATGAAATTTTGGTCAAGAGTAAGAACAATACGATGAAGGGACAGAGATTTTGTTGTATATAGTGGTTAAATTTAATTCTTTTTTCTCTGGCAAATTTTTTTTGGATATGTTAAATAATGTTGGTACTTTCGTTAATTCAAGATATTAATCTAACTTCTCTTTGATTTCTTTTTCTATATGTAGTTAAAAACATATATATCTTTTAAAAATAAAATTACTTAAATACCTTGGATATCATATTATGAATAAAAGTTACTTTTTTAAAAAAAAAAAAAAAAAGGTCAGAGACAATGTGAGCGTGTCTTAACTTACAAAAGAAAAAACGATATCCGTTTACCTCCTAAAGAAGTTTGCCTGACTTACTCAACCAAGTATAATAGCCTCCTCGTATGTCACTCATGCTCTTCAGATTTAGAATTGGTTCGTGTTCTTCCATGTTTATGATGCGCCTAATCTTTCTCCCTCAATTTTTTTTTTTGGGGGGGGGGGAGTTTGCCAAGTCTACATAGATAAAGCTTAGTCCTGGCTGACTGAAATTTGATTTGTTAGGCTATTCAGATTTAACGGGTCCAACAATGGAAATCCAGATAATGCAATGTAAGAAAACCGTTATTGATGTTAACAGCTATCTATCCACACCAGAGCCCAGATTGCGAATTGCCTTGCAAGTTAATTTGGGAATACGGGGCACATAAATCACTTTGGAAGGCAGGATAGTGGGATTCTAACGGAAAAGCACAACTCGGGCAAGGACAAAGATGACCAGGAAAGAAGAGTAGCAACTTGCAAGAGAAAGATGCATAAACTAATATGAGTGAAAGTCTGAAACTATAGCACAGCTGCATACAAAGGAACAGCCTACATATGCACAAAGACGAGCATGTAACTATGTATATAAACATCCAAACTAACAGAGTCAACCCATGCCTCTCCTCAACGAGCCTTGCCAGCCACCCCCAAAAATTTTAAAAATGCAACGGGGCCAATTACCTAGCAGTTCAAAATTTAATAACTCCCCATATGTTAGCTATGAATACTACTGCAGCCATTAAACTGACAGAGAATACCAAGGTAGATGACCGGATCCTGGCACGAGAAGAAACCTTTGATGTGCCCTTAACTGATTTGCACAACATGGTTTCTTTTAAACCTGAGATAGAATCTTCATTTGTAACAAGTTGCTGAGAAATATTATTACTGTCAACTGACTCAGGAGTCTGGGGTTCACTCTCAGCATTAGCATCCTCTTCTGCAGCATTATTTTCTGAGGCTTCAGTCTCCTGCAAAAGAGCAATCCCACAAATCTCACAAGAAGCGCCAAATAACCTTCTGTTTAATACATAAGTTCTACCATGTAAACACTTACCCTTGTGATGATTGGTTTTGAATCATGGTTTTCTTGTACATAACCCCCACCTTTCTCAATTTTAAGTAGAAGAATTCTTCTGGGAGCATTACCCTGCCCTTGGATCATAGGGTTCATGTTTACCTCTTCATTTCGCCCTTGGCGAGTCCTAATCCTGATCCCAGTCCCAGCACCATTATCACCGCCAACAACTGTATTGTAGTTTCTTGGTTCCTGACAACCATTTAACACACTGTAGACTTGGTCAAAAGCAACATCAGATGGCAAAGCCATCTGAGAATGGCTTTGGACTATCCCAATATTGCTCTTCTGGTCAAAACCACTGAGGTCAGGCGTAATGGCTCTGGTAAATTCTGAAGCTGTATCTATCATGGAAGGAATCCTGTTCTCAATTGCCTCCTCAGGATGCACAGCATGCAATGCTTGACGATACTGCAGAATACAATAAGATCATAGCATTATACAAGAGATGCAATTATTAATGCTAATAACACTCTCAAACACAACTAGATTATGCATGTTGCAAACTGATGTGTCAATCTGGCAGCCAATTAGTGGGAACCATTATATAATTTTTTCTTTTTGGTTAAAAAAAAAAAAGAATTAAAGCTACCACTTCAAGTTGGAAAACCAACACATGTTCATTCCGCAGCGAAATCCAAAATGGCATAAATTTATAACAGGCTCCTTACCGGCATATTGGCCATTTGCACATCTGAGTCATTGCCAGATCCATAGTCCCTAGGATTTAAAACGCCAGAGGTTGGCTTTTGACTGATGTAGTCCTCACAGGACAACCCGCCATAATTAATGCATGAGTCAAAGTACTCTGAAAAATTTGTCTCATTTGTGCCATATGAAAGTTGCACCCCAGAATAGCCATCTGATACATTGCTCACTGGATCATAAAATTCTGACAGCACATGCATATGTAACGGGGAGAACATCTTGTCATCAAATCCAGTTATTGGTTCATTAAATATATCAAGGTTCAACAGCGGATCCTCCTGAAGAAGGAAGCAACAACTACAAGTTCTAGGTAAACAATTTCAAAATACACAAACCGAAACAGAAAGAAATAAACAAGAAAGACAAAATAAGACTTGTAGAAACTCAATTACTGTATCTGACCTCTATAGCTGTTTTATCTACATTTTGATTTTGTGCGTCACAAGCATCACCCCCATCACTATGGCAATCAGCTGATGTTATTACGTTAGATGTGGTTTCTTCAGTGTTCTCAGAAATACAGAATGGAGCTATCCGCTGCTTATCATCTTCTGGAGCCACCGACGGGGATACCACAGCCACACCAGCATCAGACTGTATTTCTTCTGGAGAGTAATTAGCAGCAGTAGGGGTTGACACAGTCCGTTCCACTTCTTCACAGTTTGAAACTTCAAGACTCTCATCTTGTTTCTTAAACAAACGACAGAGGACATAGGCATTCTGGCACAAGTCAAAACCATCAAATCAAAATTCACCGATATATCATCATCTACGTAAAAATATAGTCAGCCAAAAGTTCTATGAACACTTAGGTAATCAAACTAAAGGAGAGCTATTTCCAAAGATATTGGATGCAACATTGCAAGGTTGCAACGATTCGATGTGACAACCCCACGAAAACAAGATATGAAGAAGCAAATTTAAACAATATAAAACATGAGAGAAGGCTTTACCTGTCCAGGATTGGTACCATCAAGCTCCTTCAGAGTGGGACGGTACTCATGCATAACCCAATGGGTTCTCTTCCCCTTGGGAGCACGACCACTGTAGAAGACTAAAGTCTTCTTCATTCCTATCAACGTGGACCCGGACTTAATTTTGCGATCCTTGCCAGTTGCCTTCCAATACCCTTGATTTGTTGCTCGGTTCAATCTATGGCCATTCGGATACTTGCGGTCCTGTGGACAGAAGAAGAACCACTCTGGATCCTTGTTCCGTATCACCGATAAATCTATTGACAAGCCAAATCAATCGAAACCAGAAAGAAGCAAATGAGCGCATAAAATAGCACACGAAGCACCAAGACGAGCTAATTTGCACAGAAGTTTTTTTCTTTTTTCACATCAATTGTACACTAATCCTGCAATCTTGCATACCACTTGTTTCATAGAATCACATCGAAGAAAATTGAAAAAGAGAAGCATTTCACGTTTGTTCTCAATGATTGAAAGATGGAAAACCATTTTTTTCTATCGCGTTCAATTCTTAAAACCCGTCATCTTTTTTTCCCCATCGCGTTCAATTCTTAATAGACACAAGTAAAATTGCAATGAGTGGAAGAATGAATAGTGTGCACAGCAAAACAAGACAAGCAAAGTCTTGCAACTTTCCCAATTTCAAGATGAAAGGAAAAAGGAACAAATACCAGGCAAATCCCAGGGCTCCCATTTGCAAACATCGATTTCCCGGATAACCCAGACTTCGTCACCATAACCATTAATCTTCTGTCTCAGGTAAAAATCAACAAGCTCCTCGTCGGTGGGCCGAAATCTGAAACCCAGAGGCAGCGAATTCAGAGGCAACACAGCCGTCTCATCCGCTCGCGGTGGCGGCGGATGACAGGTAGTAGCCGCACCCATCCGGAAGTATCAGCAGGAGTTTCGAAGAAAAAAAGGGCGGAAAAAGGGAGTGTTTGAAGAACCCGTCGATCAATTATAGAGAGAGAGAGAGAGAGAGGAAGACCAAGAAGGAGAGCTTAGAATCAAGATGATTCAGAGGATTTTTGGGTGCGATGGGCCAGGTAGCTTGATCCTTCGCTCTTTTACAATGGGTTAAAAAGAGAGTGAAACGCGTTCGGGAAAGCAGCTAACCACGAAGCGTGGTCAGATACCATGACATGACCACAGAATAGTCAGTCACAGTGCCAAACCAAGGAAGGGACGGAACCGTGTGTACCATATTAACCTCGCCGAGCCACTAGATTCACAGGCAATGCCAGTCCAATGCGAAACGAGTTTGGTAGTAACACTCGCAGGATTGGGTTGGCAGCCAAGTGGGACTAAGAAGCACTGTGACAACAAGACGACAAACTGAAAAAGCGCCCAGAGAGAACGACCAATAATATAAAGACGCCTGGCTTAAGTGGGCCCTCTCATTGACGTAGTCAGCAAGGAAACCTGAGTGACTGTCTTTTTACCCATACCCTTACATGCTCACTCTCCTAGAGTCGCAGGTTAAACTTTCTGCTCGTGTGGCCCTGCATGGTCGGAGTGGAAGGTAAAATGTTCGAATTGATGTGAATGCGTTTAAAAAAATTGTTACTCTCTAGATTCTAGACGGCGTGAATGGAAAATATGGAAGTATTATTTTTGAGTTATTTAATTTACATGGTAGAATATTTTGTTTTGGGACATGATAATGCCACAATGTCTGGTATTTTAGGAATGATGCACAAGGGATATGCAGCATGGTAGCTTCCTGTGGCCCAAAGGATTAGAACTTTCCTCTGGCTCATGTAGAAGAGCAAGTTACTTGCTAACTCCGAACGATCTAAAAGGATGACGATGCAAGATACACAATGCTCTCTTTGCAACGCACCTGTTGAAGATATAGTGTGTGTTTGAATTAAAAAATTTATAATTGAGGTTAGGATTCAATTGAGATTAGCAAATTAAGGTTAGAAGAAAAGTCAGTTGATATAACGTGACTTATATTTGGATACCATTTTTTTTAAAAGTCAGTC